GCTTAACCGACTGAGCCACCCAGGTGCCCTACCAGGTGCATGTTTTTAAAAAAGTAATCTCTATGCCCAATATGGGGCTCAAACTCATGACCCTGATAGCAAGAGTCACAGGCCATACTGACTGAGCCAGCCCGGAGCCCCTACAAGGCACATTTTTGATGCTTACTCATTTCATCCTCCAACAATCCTGGGAAGTAGGTTTTTACAACTACTCGTGATACAGATGACCACACTGAGGCTCCCAAAGACCCTGTGCCGTGACTGAGACCATATGCAGTAAGTTAGTGGAAATTCTGGGCCCAGAAGGCAGGTCCGCTTACTTCAAAGCTTGTGCTAATTATATGCTATTTTTCTCCCAAAATATATACACTCATACAGTATGATTCCTGGCCTTTTAAACCTTACAGTCTAGTTGATGATAAGATAAACACATACAGCAATACCCAGCAGTCGCTGGTTATGGACACTCATCACAGAAGTCCCTTGTGTATCCCAACTGGAAATTCCACCTCTTGAGTGTTTGGGGAGGTTGTGCTGGCCTGCAGTGAATTTGGCTTTGATTGAGCCCAACCAGGCCTCGGAAGTTTTTATGCTTTGACCATGGCCGGAACCACCATTGCTGTCCCAGATCATCAAATTGCAAATGGAAGTTTTATTCCAGTCGGCCTTTAACAATTAGGGCGGGGCTTCTCCAACTTGAATGCACATACCAATCACCTGGGGATCTTATTAAAATGCAGATTATGAATGAGTAGGTGTGGGGGTGGGGGCTGGGAGTCTGCATTTCTTTTTTTTTTTCCCCCTTTTTTGAATAGCGAGACTTTGTTTTGTTTTTGCAAGACTTTTTTATTTTTCTTTATTTATTTTGAAAGTAAGCTCGATGCCCAATGTGGGGCTTGAACTCAAGAGCCCTAGGTCAAGAGTCGCATGCTCTATCGGACTGAGCCAGCCAGGTGCTCCCGGAAGTCTGCATTTCTAATAAGTTCCCAGGTGATGCTGATAATGCTAGTTTGAGGGTTGGGGCGCAGACGCTAAATGGAGTTAAATGGACTAACCCAGACCCAGACTTCCATCCTGTCTCCGAGCCCCAGGCAGAGTGCTGAGCTGCTCTTCATCTCCCTGTGGGCCAGAGGAAGAGCCCCCAACCCTGAGCTGCAAGAGGGAGGGACCTCCCCTCTCCGAGCCTCGTCCCAGTAAAAGGGCAAGTGGCTGTCCAGGCTGCAGTTGGGGCTGCGAAGGCAGCCCTGTCCCGGGAGAGATGCCCGGGCTCCCTTTGGCCTCCACGTGGGCCAGGCCGGCTCCCCTGGCCCCCTCCTCCCTGCTGCCCTCCCTGGTGCATCTGGGGCAGCACTCTGTGCCTGTCAGGCTGCTTGAGCTCTGTGCCGGGTGCCCCGCTGGGCCGGTGGCCTCTCCCTTGACATCTTCAGCCACCCGCCTGGGTGGGTGGTCTGGTCCTGGACCTGCCTGACAGCAGGGGACCGGCCCTGGTGACCGACCCTTCTAGCACCGTGAGTCAGACTCCCCGAGGGCCCCAGGGCCCCGGGCGACAGGCAGGCCGCCTTGCTGGGACCACGCGGGAAGCCGAGGCTGGATGGATATTAGCCCAGGAGGCGGCTATGCAAGCTGGTGCCGCCAGAACAGAGGGGCACCGTCTATCTTGCTTCTCCTTATGCAGAACGGATCATAATTATACTTGGAATGTATGTGAGGCCTGCTTTCCAGAAGCTCAAAGCCCAATCGAGTATTGAGTACTCTTTTCGCTAGTCTGACAATCATCCATCACATTGTTTCTATGGGAAATGGTTTCCAGTTCCCAAACTGCCTGACTGCATGCTGGGAACTGGCTGCACAGACAGGAAGGGAAGGAGCAAAAGGTAGAAGCCCCTAAGAGCCAGAGGAGCTGTTCAGGGAATGCGTTCTAGGGGTTCAGAGGAGGGAGGGAGGACCCTGGCCTGGGCATTGCAAGACCTCCTGGGGCAGGGGAGTGGGAGCTGTGCTCTCAGGAGGAATAGGATTTTGGTGGGGGGTGGGGTGGGGTAAAGGGTACCTTCTCCTGAGACAAGAACAGGGTGCTCACTACACAAGCTGGGAGAAATGGTTCACGCATTCCGGCTGGAGTCAGGGATGTCAGGCCAGATGGGATTGCCTGTGGAGCTCACACAGAAGAGAAGGAGGGGTTGGGGGGAGAAGAAGAGGCACAATTTATCATTAGTACCGTGGGCCAGGCACGTGACCTACATGACGTCTATTCCTCATAGGACGCTTCATTGCTTAGTTGCGGAAATAGCTTCACGGGGGTTAAGTGAGGCTCTTACACTCCCCCCCACCCCGGCTCCTGACAGGTGGTGAGTGCTAGAGTCAGGATTTGAATCCAGGTCTGCGTGGGTGTTTCCATGACGTTGTGCCTTCTTACTCTTGCACATGTCCCTGACTCCTGTGTTGGACGTAAAAATGCCCATGGAAGGGGCCCCTGGGTGGCTCAGTCGTTAAGCGTCTGCCTTCAGCTCAGGTCATGATCTCAGGGTCCTGGGATCAAGCCCCGCATCGGGCTCCCTGCTCAGCTGGGAGCCTGCTTCTCCCTCTCCCTTTGTCCCTTACCACCAAGTGGAAGGCTCAAGACCATTTGAACACATTCTCTCAGTTCTGGAAGCCAGGAGTCTGAATCAAGGTGTCAACAGAGTTTTCTTCCTCTTGTTGCCTTTAGAAGACTATCCTTAGGTGTTAGGCTTCTCCAGAGAAACAGAACCAATAGGTTATATATATTCTATGGAGAGAGAGAGAGATTCATCATAAGGCATATGAAGGCTTGCAAGTCCAAAATCTGCAGAGTGAGCTGGCAAGGGAGAGACCCAGGAGAACTAATGTTCCAATTTGAGGCTGAAGGCCTGAGTTAATGTCTCCTATCAAGTTGAAAGTCAGGCTGCTGAAGAATTCTCTTTTGCTGGGGGTGGGGGTGGGGGTGGGGTCATCTTTTTGTTTTATTCTGGCTTTCAACTGCTTGGATGAAGCCTGCCTACCTTAGGGAGGGCAATCTGCTTTACCCAAAGTGCGCTGATTTGATGTTAATGTCATCAGAAACGCACCCTCAAAGAAACACTCAGAGTAACCATGTTTGAGCAAGTATCTCAGTAACCTGTGGTCCAGCCAAGTTGACACTTAGAATTAACCATCATAGCTTCCTTGCCTCTTCCAGCTCCTGGTGGCTTTAGGCGTTCCTCATCTGCGGGCTGCATGATTCCAGTCTCTGATTCCAACTTCACACAGCTTTCTTCCTGTGTCCCAGCCCAAATCTTCCTCTGCCTTTCTCTTAGAAGGCCCATCCTAAATCTCGGATGATCTCATTTCAAGATCCTTAGCTTAGTTATGTCTGCCAAGACCCTTTTTCCAAGTCAGGTCGTAATCACAGTTTCTAGAGGTTAGGACACAGACACATCTTTTTGTGGGGCAACCATTCAATCCACGAAACTGGTATTGCCTCCTGGAAATCTAAGGAGTTCTGCTGGCATGGCCACTTCCTAGCTTCAGGTACAAAACAAAAACCCCAAACTGAGGGGCTCCAGACTATTAATAATCCTAGTGAAGGAGGTAAGTCCGCCACCATTTGGGGTAGACATTGTAAGTGAAGTGTCATGTGGCAGGGGAGGGGGGCAGGAAATGTCA